GAGGGGTGGGGGAAGGAGGTGAAATCCAAGGTGGTGAGAGGCTGACCCTGCTGGCACCAGTGCTAGGAGCTGCTCCAAACACCAGCCTGTCCTGCCACTGCCCAAACAGCCTTGGCAGGAGCCACTTGGTGTGGCTGTGTGGGCAGCAGGAGGGTGGCTGGAGGCCTGGTGAGACCCAGCACCATATTTGCAAGAGAAAATCTCTGTGGGGGACCCTTCTTTCTGCGCTGTCATTTCTTCTGCTGAGCAATTCAACATTCTGACAAAGGTTATTTCTTATATTGGGCTTTCCTGGGGCATCTCAAAAGATTGATCAGAGCTGGCAAGGGGCTCAGCCTGGAGAAAAGGAGGCTCAGGGGGGACCTTGTGGCTCTGCACAACTCCCTGCCAGGAGGGGACAGCCAGGGGGGGTCGGGCTCTGCTGCCAGGGAACAGGGACAGGACAAGGGGAAATGGCCTCAGGCTGGGCCAGGGCAGGCTCAGGGTGGGCACCAGGAGGAATTTGCCCATGGAAAGGGTGCTCAGGCCTTGGCAGAGGCTGCCCAGGGAGATGGAGATGTCCAGGGCAGGCCTGGATGTGGCACTGAGTGCTCTGGGCTGGTGACAAGGTGGGGATTGGGCACAGCTTGGCCTCAGTGATCCTGGAGGTCTTTTCCAACCTGAAGGATTCTGTGATTCTGTGTATTTATTTGAGTTTTCCTGCCCTGATGATGACATCAATAAAAAACAAAAAGCCAGAGGGGTGTCTGGAGTTCAGAGCTCCTGCTCTGGTGTCCAGGGTTCTTGGAGCACAGAACATGCTGTGGACACCCCTGCCAAGAGGACAACGTTGTATGGCAGCAGGTGGAACAAATTCAAACTTTTCTGTTCCTCAGACTCTGCCCTGAGCATCTGGGGCTGTTTAACAGCTCTCTTGGGGCTCTTCTCCTTACACAAGTTTGGGTTGCAGACTCTCCTGAAGTGGGGGGAGCTGGAGGTGTCCTGGGGCTGGGAGGGTCTGTGTGCCATGGGAGCTCATCCTTCAAGGAATGGTGGTCCCAGAACCTCCTCAGATGGCCTGGCCTGTGCCCATGCCCTGCCTTGGCTGGGGGAGGAGCTGGAGAACACAGAGCAGCTTGTTCCCAGTGGCTCTGGGATGACAAAGGCCCTTCCATGCCCACAGCACCATGGAGGGGGCCCTGCTCTGTGAGGCTGTGAGTGAGTAACCAGCAAGCCCAGCGTGTCCCTGCTCTGCTCCTCTTGCACAACTGGCGGGTGATTCACAGCTCTCCAGCAGTGGTGTTGCAATTCCTGCTGCTCAGCTCTCCCTGCAAAGCCCAGGAAGAGGCTGCCAGGTCCTGCTGGCTCTCCCTTTACACCTCATTAGTCCTAATTTGGTAAATTTTCCTCGTCACAGATCAGTGTCCTCTGGGGATCAGGACAGAAGATCCTGGGAAGGATGTGAGGGGGAGAGCTGTGGGAGCTGTTCCACCTCTGCCTGGACATCTCCAAATCTCCCAGTCCTGCAGAGATGTTCCCCTGACTGAGCCACCAAGACCAAAGTTGTCTTTGTCCTTGGCCAGGCATCTCCTGAGGGACGGCTTCCCTCATGGGACAACGTTCAACAATTTGACACAAGGGCCAGCCTTACACAGCAGACAGAAAACACTTTGTCTTGCTTGCAGAGGGACATGTGAGATTATCAGGAGGAAATTCTTCTTGGAAAGGGTGGTCAGGCATGGGAAGGAACTGCCCAGGGAGGTTTGGAGTCCTCATCCCTGCAGGTGTCCAGGGCTGGCCTGGATGTGGCACTCAGTGCCCTGGGCTGGTGACAAGGTAGGGACTGGGCACAGCTTGGATTGGAAGGTCTGGGAGGGCTTTTCCAGCCTCAGGGATTCTGAGATTCTGTGTGGCACCACATCCTCTCCAGGATCCCAAAGATAACCTTCCCTGAAATGTTGAAGTCCTTGAGCAAGCTGTCTAGGACAAAAGGCTCTTGCAAACAGGGGTGTGAACCTCCAGAGCTGACAAACCTCCCAGGAGTGCCTGGAGCCCTCAGGAGCGTGGTTCCCAGCCTGGCTCAGTGGCAGTGCCCGTGCCACAGAGCTCCCACGGGCACAGGAGCTCTCCCCTTCCCTCTGCTCAGCCACAGAGGAAGTGTTTGTGCAGCGCCCTTACACGGCTCGAGCAGAGAGCTAAAAATAACCCTGTGCTGTGGCTGCTGCGTGTGCTGTGTCAGCGCCGCAGCGCTGCCGGGGCTCAGGGGACAGCGACAGAGGCCAGGGCCCCGCTGCCAGCGGGGACAGCTGCCTGCACGCCAGCAGGGTGGGAAACCGAAACAACAAACACAGCAAACACACCCGGCCCTGGGGCACAGCAGGGCCTGGGAGGGACGTGAGCTGTAGGGAACCTTTTCAGAGAATCCCCAAGGCTGGAAAAGAGCTCACAGAGCATCCAGTCCCAGCTGTGCCCAGTGCCCACCTTGTCCCCAGCCCAGGGCACTCAGTGCCACATCCAGGGGACACCTGCAGGGATGGGCACTCCAGACCTCCCTGGGCAGCCCCTGCCAAGGCCTGAGAACCCTTTCCATGGGCAAATTCCTCCTGGTGCCCACCCTGAGCCTGCCCTGGCCCAGCCTGAGGCCATTTCCCCTTGTCCTCTCCCTGGCCCCTGGCAGCAGAGCCCGACCCCCCCTGGCTGTCCCCTCCTGGCAGGGAGTTGTGCAGAGCCACAAGGTCCCCCCTGAGCCTCCTTTTCTCCAGGCTGAGCCCCTTGCCAGCTCCCTCAGCCCCTCCTGGGGCTCCATTCCCTTCCCAGCTCCCTCAGCCCCTCCTGGAGCTCCATTCCCTTCCCAGCTCCCTCAGCCTCTCCTGGGGCTCCATTCCCTTCCCAGCTCCCTCAGCCTCTGCTGGGGCTCCATTCCCTTCCCAGCTCCCTCAGCCTCTCCTGGGGCTCCATTCCCTCCCCAGCTCCGTTCCCTTTCCTGGACACGCTCCAGCCCCTCCAGGTCTCTCCTGGCAGGAGGGGCCCAGAGCTGCCCCCAGCACTGGAGGTGCCCCAGCAGTGCCAGCACAGGGGACGGGCACTGCCCTGGCCCTGCTGCCACCCCAGAGCTGGCACAGCCATGGGGCCTCTGGCACACCTGGGCACACCCAGGCTGGTGTCCAGCTGCTGGCACAGCACCCCCAGGGTCTTTTCGAGCCCCTCTGTCCCTACATGAGTTGAGATAACTCATCCTGCAAATAGTGGGAAATTACAGACAGCAGAATATGTAATTATGACAGCAAATTGCAGTTGGCAGTGTGCCGGATCATACCATGGGACAGCTCAGGATTCAACGTGAGAGGAGTATTGGGTGAGTGCAAAACCTGTGATGGGGCATCTGCAGCGTTTCCAGTGCCTTCAGTGCTGGTTCCACAGCCTGGCTCTTGCAAGAAAGGTTGCATCCCTGTGTGGGAGGAGCAGGAGCTGTGAGGGAATCCTCATGTCCAGGTTGCCACCTGGAAATCCCCCAGTCCTGGGCTGATCCCTCATTGTGAGCAGCAGGAAAGGGGGATTCTGTCCCTGTGCCCAGGTGAGAGCCCACCTGCAGAGCTGCCCCAGCCCTGGGCATTCCAGCAGCACAAGGACCTGGAGCTGCTGCACAGAGCCCAGAGGAGGCCCCAGAGCTGCTGCAGGGCTGGAGCCAGGCTGGCAGAGCTGGGGGGGCTCACCTGGAGAGGAGAAGGATCCAGGCAGAGCTCAGAGCCCCTGGCAGGGCCTGGAGGGGCTCCAGGAGAGCTGCAGAGGGACTGGGGACAAGGCTGGAGGGACAGGAGCCAGGGAATGGCTCCCAGTGCCAGAGGGCAGGGCTGGGTGGGAGATTGGGAATGAGGAATTGTTCCCTGTGAGGGTGGGCAGGCCCTGGCACAGGGTGCCCAGAGCAGCTGGGGCTGCCCCTGGATCCCTGGCAGTGCCCAAGGCCAGGCTGGGCAGGGCTTGGAGCACCCTGGGACAGCGTCCCTGCCATGGCAGGGGTGCACTAAGATGGGTTTTGCTGTCTCTTCCCACCCAAACCTTTGCACGACCCCGGCAGTCTCCGCTTTCCCCTCAGGTCTCTCTGCCCCCTCACGCCTGCGCCGCCAGGGGGCGCCTCCCGCCCCACCCGCAGCCTCGCTCTGCCCCCCGCTGACGTCACTCCAACCTCCGGGGGAGGAGGCGCGCGCAGCCAATGGGAGCGCGGGGAGCGCAGCGAGGGGGCGGGGCTTTCGCCGGCGCAAGGGCGGGGCCGGCAGCCCCCGGGTTCGCGCGGCCGCGGGTGACGTCATCACGCGGGGGCTCTGCGGACCCGCGGGGCGGGAGCGCACCTGAGCGGGGCAGTGACCGAGAACTGCACCCAAAAATCCCACCCAGCCCTGCCCTCCGGCACTGGGAGCCATTCCCTGGGCCCTGTCCCTGCAGGCCTTGTCCCCAGTCCCTCTGCAGCTCTCCTGGAGCCCCTCCAGGCCCTGCCAGGGGCTCTGAGCTCTGCCTGGATCCTTCTCCTCTCCAGGTGAGCCCCCCCAGCTCTGCCAGCCTGGCTCCAGCCCTGCAGCAGCTCTGGGGCCTCCTCTGGGCTCTGTGCAGCAGCTGCAGGTCCTTGTGCTGCTGGAATGCCCAGGGCTGGGGCAGCTCTGCAGGTGGGCTCTCACCTGGGCACAGGGGGGTAGAGGGGCAGAATCCCACCCTTTCCTGGTGCCCACACTGGGGTTTCAGCCCAGGGCACAGGAGGTTTGGGGCTCTCATGTCCAGCCTCTCCCCCACCAACACCCCCGAGCTGCTCTCCCTGTGCTCATACCCAGCCTGCATGGATGCGAGGGCTGGTCCCGACCCAAGCGCAGCACCAGCCCCTGGTCCCGTTAAACCCCACGAGATCCTTGCTGCCGGAGCTCATCCCCGGCTCCGCGAATCCCGGAAAAAAAAAAAACAACAAAAAAAACCACGCAAAAAAACCCGCACAAAACGAACGAACTCCGGGGGCCGCGCGGTGACGTCACCCGTACCCGGCCGAGCCGAGCCGAGCCGGGCCGGGCGGGGCCCGCGGGGTTATGAGGGCGGGCGCCGCCGCCTCCCCGTGAGGAGCCGCGGGCGCGGGGAGCGCGCGAGGCCGCCCCGCCACAGGAAGCCATTTTGTGGGCCCCCTCCTCCTCCTCGCTCTCGTCCTCTTCCTCCTCCTCCTCGTCCTCCGCCGTCGCCGCCGCCCTCGGGAGCGGCCGGGCCCGGTGAAGGAGGCGGCGAGGAGGGGCGGCGGCGGCCGCCGCGCCCTCCCCCATGGCGAAGAAAACCTACGACCTGCTCTTCAAGCTGCTGCTGATCGGGGACTCGGGGGTCGGCAAGACCTGCGTCCTCTTCCGCTTCTCCGACGATGCCTTCAACACCACCTTCATCTCCACCATTGGTCAGTGCTTTACCGCCCCCGGGGTGGGGGGGATGCGGACCCCTCGGTTCCCACCGCCGTACCCCGCATCTCCGCCCCGGTGTTCACCCCGGCCGCGTTGTTGTGTCACCCCCGAGGGATCTCCTGTATTATCTGCGTCTCCCCAGGGACCCCCACCCCTGGGGACAGCCTGTGTCACCCATCAGGAATCCTGTGACCCCACCATCCCCAGGGACCCCCAGCCCCATGCTTTTGTCACCCCTGGGGACCCCCTGTGTCACTCATCAGGAATCCCCAGGGACCCCCAGCCCCATGCTTGTGTCACCCCTGGGGACAGCCTGTGTCCCCCCCGAGCCCCACTCCTGCATCCCCCCTCAGGACCACCCTGTGTCCCTCCAGGACCTTCCTGTGCCACCCCCCAGCCCCGTTCCCGTGTCCCCGCGCTGTCCCCTGGCCCTGGACGCGGAGACGCCGCCTCTCCCCCGCTGCAGGGCAGGGTGGCTTTGGTTCCTCCCTCCTCTCTGGGTGACCCTGGGCGACCCTCGCTGTCTCCCCCGCGCTGGCAGCTCGTCCCCCACGCCCCGTGCCAGCCTCCGGAGCCCACCTGGCCCCTTCCATCAGCGCTAATCCCCGCGGCTGCGGGCGGGATCCCGTGCCCGGGTTGGTTGCACCGCTATGGATGTGGCTCAGAAGCGATCGCGCTCCTGGGTGGGGTCTGTTTTCTCAACCCGACCAAGCTCTCCTTCCCCCCTCGGCAAAGCTGGCTCCGGCCCTTCCTCGCAGAGCAAGGTAGAGCTGCTGTGACATGATGAAAGAGGGATGTGTCTTTGCCTTTTCCGGGCACTCTGTGCCACGGGACAGGCCTGGTACCCAATATCCTTCATCCCAGGGCTTCCTGAACGTCTTGTTTTGCAGATGAAGAGTTCAGGTCAGCAGCTTCTCACCTTCTTGGTGACTGGCTCTGGAAATTAAGGGTAATTCCTGTCTTGCAGCACTCATTGGTGTAACACATGCAGATACCCACATCTGGATAAAAAAGAAAATTATTTTGAGGGGTTTGAACTGGATCTGACTTTTGTGTTTGCTGTAAATCCCTTAAATCACTGGTCATGCAGCTGAGGGAACATGGAGTGTCAGTGTAGATCTTAGTGCTGGGTGTAAGTTCACCCCTGTGCACTTCCTCATCTGTGTTGAAACATCACCCAAAAATTGCACCTCAGACTTTAACATGCAAAAACACTCTCTTAAGCAAGGCTTGGGAAATTAAAAGTGAAAAAAAAAAACCTTTGTGACAACTAAGTGTCAAGAAAATTATTTCCTAAAACCTCTCAAGGGCCTCAAGCTGACATTTTGCTGAATTTTTGGGGCACTGTGTGACAGTTAATGCTGTCCCTTCCCATGGCTTGCCCTGGCTGTGGGAGGCCAGATGGGTTTGCTGCTGTGGCCAGGGTGTATTTTGGCACTGCTTGGCAGATCCTTGCTGGGATCACATGACATTCCTTGCCTTTGGAGTTCATTGGGAAGGTTTATTTCAATTCTCCAAGTTAAAAATAGTCAACGTCATAGTTAAAAAGTCAGCGGGCACACAGTGGCTCCTGCTCCAACAACTCGTGCTTTTAATTATTAGTCATTTATTTATTAGTTGCTGGTCTAACTGTGCAATTTTGGGACCTTCAAGAGAAGTATCACCAAGTTGAGTAGGAAGCATGCACGTGCAGATTTTGGAAGTGTTTCCCACCAGTGGGACCAGTGGCTGTTTGTTCCTGGAGTGCCTGAACTGGAAGGCAGAGGTGTTTTATTTGTAAATTCTGAACTGAATGTCTGGTGATGGTAGCTGGTTTGTGTCTTCACAGTGGGATTTGGCAGGTGTTGGGGTACAAACTGATTTTCTGTGTGGTGTTTAACTGCCCAAAGATGCCTTGAATGTGTTGTTTCCATAGTCCTTCTGTGAGTTTAATGTGAAAACCTGGAGGGAAGTGTCTTGTGCAGACAATATCAGTTGAAAGGGAGACTCTCCATGAGCACCTTGGGAAATCCAGCCCATCCCTGAAGGAAGAATCCAAACACCTGAGTTATCCAGGTCCACTCAGTTCTCTGCATTATTCCCAAGCAGTGCAGCAATCTGGCTGAAAATGGCATTTCACATTCCTCCTGGTGACAGCAGCTCTCACACTTGCCCAGGTTGGCCCTGCAGCAGCAGTGGCATTCCAAGAGCCTGGAAAGGGGCTTTCCATGGGGGTCCCTGCTGTGGGAAGGGGCTGCAGCCCTTCAGCCCTGCTTGGTTTTGCAGCTGGAAGAGCAGAGTTTCAGGGAAAGCCTCCCATGGAGTCTTTGACCTGCAGCAACAAGGAAATGTGGTTTCCAAAGCCCTGTGTACACAGTGGGTGACGGGAGGTGACTGGATCCTTGGCTGAGGCTCTCCTGTGTTTGAATAACCCCAGCAGCTCTGATCCCTGCCCTGGCTTTGCTCAGAGCTCTGCCAGCAGCCTGGGACACACGTAAAATGTGCTGGGGTGTTTGGTGGGGGCTGTAGGCAGGGACTGGTGCGTGGAATCCTGGAATGGGTTGGGTGGGAAGGGACATCAGAGCCCACCCAGTGCCACCCCTGCCATGGCAGGGACACTGCCACTGTCCCAGGCTGCTCCAGCCCCAGTGTCCAGCCTGGCCTTGGGCACTGCCAGGGATGCAGGGGCAGCCACAGCTGCTCTGGGAGTTCCATCCCAGCCTCTCCCCACCCTGCCAGGGAGCAATTCCTCATTCCCAAAATCCCATCCAGCCCTGCCCTGTGCCAGTGGGATCCATTCCCTGTGTCCTGTACCTCCATCCCTTGTCCCAAGTCCCTCTGAGCTCTTCTGTAGGTTCACTGCAAGCACTGGAAGGCTCAGTCTTTAGTTTGTAAGGAAAATAAGTATCTCCAGGAATATTGAAACTGGCCTCTGTCTAAGGAGGATGCATGAGGAAAAGATTTTAATTCTCTAAAACCAAAGGCCTGTTTGCATGTGTAATTTCTGCTTCATGTCAGTAACTTCTATCACTTCACATTTCATCCTTGCACGTTGGCTGATCCTGCTCCATCATGGCTGCTGGGAGATAACTTACTGTCCCTGTAATTTGACATACTCTCACTTTGACTTTGAGTCACTTCAATCTAATATTTCCTGCTAAAGCAGCAGTTAAGCTTCTGGATGTGCTGAGGTGCCAGCCTGAGTGATTTCATTGCCCCTTCTCAGGCACTATAAATATTCCAGATGGCATTTCTGCAAGAAATCCCAGAGTCATGGTAACCTCCCTGGGGAGGGCAGAGCCTGGGCCTCCAGCCCTGCCCTGCTGTTTGCAGGTACAAAATAAATAAATCTTGGAAGGCTTAGCCCATCGCAAACCATTTTAAATTTTAACTCTTCTTCAACGATTTTCCAAATAATTTTTATGGTATTTGGTTTTGAGAGCTGTGGTGCCTTCTCAGTTGTGCTTTAAGGTGCTCGTGGCTGGGTCAGTGGGTGGGTGCAGCTGCCCCTCTGCTTCTCCTCATTTTAGTCCTCTCCTTGCTGCCACTCCTGCTCCCAGCAGATTGTCTTTATTTTAAATGTTAAAAATGCTAGAATAAGTAACTTCCAGGAAGCATATCCCTGAGATCTTATTTTTTTAATATCTCTTTATTTGGTGTGTCAGGTTGTGGATGGTTTGAAGTGAGCTGTGCATAAAGGATCCACACGAGCTGTGGCCGCTTTGTGCAGCTCCTGGAGTCCAGCCTTTGGCACCTGGGAACAGGTAGGGAGGGAGGTTCTTCTGGCCAGGATGGCTGCTGGAGATTTAAATGCCAGAACTGAGCCTGAGCATGTAATCACTGTTGTCTGACTAAGTCCAATGCAAATGGAGATGAGTCACAAAAAATGCTTTCCCATGAAATGTCTAGTAACAGCTCAGGAGAACAAAGGGTGTGTGAGCATTGGGAGATTTCCCCCCCAGTGCTCCTGATGGAAGGTAAAACTTCCCTGGATCTTTATCCCTCCTGGAGGTGCAACTGCATTTTGTGTTCCTGAGCTTTACTCACCTGGCTGCAAGTCTACAAATCCAGAGATAAAAACCAGTGATTTTTGAGGTTTGTTTTATTTTGAACACAGCCAAAGCTGTGTTAGGAGTGTGAAAAACTGTTATTTTAAATGTAAAAGTATAGGAAAACTTGGATGAAATTATGTTTTAATTATTTCTTTTGCCTTTATTAGAAGTAGGTTGGAGTTGGAACCACTTGCTTTGAAATTGCTTCATATTGGCAAATTGAAGCACTGATGTTTTCAAAAATTAGTCCTCAAGAGTCCTCAAGTAATAAACCTGAGTTTGTTTGTGCTTTCTGGGAGGATTTGTTCACTCAGGATTGTGATATATTAATGTCAGAAGGAAGGAGGGATCCCCAGGTAGAGAATGGGGAAAAACTTGCCAGATTTGGGGAAACAAATGGTGGTTTGAGTGGTGAAGATGCTGTTGCTGTGCAGGGGTTGCAATGAAGTTTGAAAAACAAGTAGTTTCAGGATTCAGGTAAGGAAGGGGTTACTGCACTAGAGGGAAGTGGTGGCTTGCCTGTTCCCAGAAGTTGTGGCTGTCCCATCCCTGGCAGTGTTCAGGCCAGGCTGGACAGGACTTGGAGCAATGTGAAAGATCTCTGCCCATGTCAGGGGGTGAAATGGGATGAGCTTCAAGGTCCCCTCCAAGCCAAACCATTCCATAATTCCATCATTATATCCCTGTTTTGTGTCCTGCCTACAGGAGCAGCAGCAGCTCTGAGTTGTGTTCATGTTGTGCCCAGGCTGTGAGCTCAGTCTGCTTCTGACTCCTGGCATGGAACAGGTGAATTAGACAAGGAAAAATCCCAATAAACCCTGGCCCAGCAAAGCCTCCTGATCCCAACTCCTGCTCAGTCATTTCCGTGACCTGAACCCAGCAGGCAGCAGGAGAGGCCAAAGTCATTTCCACTTGGAGGTGGCTGTGCTGCACAACTGGCTGCCAGGGGAATTTTGGAGGGGAAAAGATGGCTGGATTCAGAATGAAAGTAGAAAATGGAAGTGGATCTGTAGGTGGGCATTGGATGCAGTGCTCTGGATGCATGCTGGAGCTTGGGAATCCCCTGGGCTCTGGGCTGCTGGAGGCTGGACAAGCACTGTTTGGCCTGGAGGGGGGTTGTCCTCTCCTCTGTCTGCTGGGACACCCAGGGGAAAGGTTACAGAGCGAGCTGGGCTCGTGTGATACTGCACAAAAAGGCTGGTTTGGTTTTGGTTTTCTTTAGTAGGGTTTTTTGGGGCTTTTGTGTGTGAGTGTTTGGGGATTTTTTTCTCATCTAGGGCAGTGAATAATGAGCAGCAGTTTTGCACACGCCTCACAGAGCTGATGAGAAGCTGGGGATGGCTGTGGTGAAGAGCTGAGGAACTGAGCTGGATGGAAACTTCTTTGTGTAACGTGGCTGTTTTTGCAGCTGAGCTGGAGCAGTTCCCTGATGGGGCTCCTTGTGTTACCCTCCAAATCTGTGCTGGTGGACAGATAGGGCAGCAGGGGACATGGAAACAGCAGAGGAGGTGGTGCTTGTACTCAGAATTCCAGGATCATTGAGGCTGGAAAAGCCCTCCTACCCTATCAAATCCCAGCTGTGCCCAGTCCTCACCTTGTCCCCAGCCCAGAGCTCTGAGTGCCACATCCAGGGGACACCTCCAGGAATGGCCACTTCAAACCTCCCTGGGCAGCCCCTGCCAAGGCCTGAGCACCCTTTCCATGGGCAAATTCCTCCTGGTGCCCACCCTGAGCCTGCCCTGGCCCAGCCTGAGGCCATTTCCCCTTGTCCTGTCCCTGTTCCCTGGCAGCAGAGCCCGACCCCCCCTGGCTGTCCCCTCCTGGCAGGGAGTTGTGCAGAGCCACAAGGTCCCCCCTGAGCCTCCTTTTCTCCAGGCTGAGCCCCTTGCCAGCTCCCTCAGCCTCTGCTGGGGCTCCATTCCCTTCCCAGCTCCCTCAGCCTCTGCTGGGGCTCCATTCCCTTCCCAGCTCCCTCAGCCCCTCCTGGGGCTCCATTCCCTTCCCAGCTCCCTCAGCCTCTCCTGGGGCTCCATTCCCTTCCCAGCTCCGTTCCCTGCCCTGGACACGCTCCAGCCCCTCCAGGTCTCTCCTGGCAGGAGGGGCCCAGAGCTGCCCCCAGCACTGGAGGTGCCCCAGCAGTGCCAGCACAGGGGACGGGCACTGCCCTGGGCCTGAGAAGTTCCCCATGAAAATTCACTTTCTGGTTGCAGTTCCACATTAACAGACC